ATCGGACAGCTGACTGTTTCAAATGCCCGGGTTTGGGCTGTTATTACTTTTCTTCTTCATGTAAAAAGGCAAGCTGGTATATAAATCGTTGCTTAGTCATCTGGAACATAATGTGGCCCTTCCCCACCGCCCCTCACCCTGCTCTGCACCCCCCCTCCCACCCAGCTCTGCCTGCTGGCCTCCAAAGCCTGAAACCACTGCCTTGAGATTCCCTTCAATAATAAATGGGATTGCCTTCCGCCTATAGGTTGCCCGAACTTATACAAAAGCTGGCGGTGGGGGTGGGAGTAGGGATGGGGGGTGAGGGACTCTGGGAAGCATTGCAACTATTGACACATTATTATAAAGAAATAGCACTGCTTTTCAATTATCCCTCTTTAAAGAAACATGCTGGTCTTGCTTTTTTTTTTTTTTTTTTCCTTAAGTGGGAGCAAAGATACTATTGTTGAACCGAGTCCTGCTCCCAAAAGGAGAAGTTTATAAGTGGGTTTTAGAGGCTTCAGCAATCATTAAAGTCCTTTAGAGTTGAAATGTTTTACATCAGATTTCAACATAAAAATACTACTTCTTCTCTTTTCTCACAAAAGAGGAGAATGAGATGAGCTTTAAATGGGAAATGCCCTGCAAGAGAAATGTCCTTATTTGTTTTGTGTGCTTCCATTCTCCATTCAATAAATCATTGAATGAGCGAAATGGTATAGGCTCTTAATACATAATACAACTTAATCATATCAATCATCATGCTCCTCTGTAAATGTCTCAATCATTCTTAACATAAAAAACTAGATTCTCACTCCCCAGCAGAGTATAACCCCCCTGAGGCTAACGCTGATTCTGGCTTACTCACAGCTCAGTCACCACTGCAGAGACAAGACCAGGCCCAGTGCAGACACTGGGGAAAGAGACCTCAAACTGGTAAACACAAAGAATGTCCATCAATGATCTATTTTCCATTCCTAGCCGCACTAAAGCACTGGAGGATGTTGGCATGTTAGGAGCTTGGGCTCTGGAATCATACTGCTGGGTCCAGACTCTACTACCCACTAACCTATATGGGACTTTGGGCAAGTCTCCTAGCCTCTCTGAACCTTTGTGATCTCCTTTACAAAGTGAGGGATGGAAATACCTATACTGACTGACAGCCCTTCATATGCAAGTGCATTATTTTATTACTATCATATATTCATCACTCTTGACTTTGAACCAAAAAAGAAAGATGTGCCCAAACTCAAAATGTGGTCAGCCATAGCTAAAGCTGCTTGTGAGTTGTAGAATGACGCAGCAGTCCTCCTGGGAAGGAGTTCAAATATGGCGGGAAAGGCACCAGATGTGCTTGGTGTTCTCCCGCTCCAAACCACACACTTCCTAAAGTAGGCCCTGATTACAGTCAGTAGGACAGGTGCGCACGGTAGGATAAAAAGACACAGGGAAGAGTCATGTATCTGCCAGTGTGCACCTCATCTTATGAGACTCTGCCTGAGGTCGTGAAAACACCCCATTCTAAAGTAGCTCACAAAAGCAAAGCCAAGAGACCAAATCCTGACAGGTACTTCACTATCTCTGAACTTTCATTTTTTCTCTTCTGTAATGGGAAGAGGGCAAGTAATAGGCAGGGATAAAATCAGAATTCAATCTCATATCTTTGGAAGTACTTTGAGGAAGTGAAAGAGTACACAAAATCAATGTCATACACAGCAAAAGCAGTACAACCTGCAACCAAATACAGATGTTAGTTTGGCCTTTTGAATGCCATCTTAAAGGAGTTTCTCTATGAAAGAATCAATTTCATACAAATGGCCACAAGTGCCAATATCAAATGACAGTAGGTGCCATAGGAAAAGTTACTATCGTAAACAATTTGAGTTAGGGGAAAGATACGTTACATAAATCATAAACAAACATTGAGTCCCCAAAGAAGAAGAATCTAGCAATTTCTTAATTATGTATCTTACATATACTATTTCTAAAATGTCCAGGATTGGATTTTCTGTTTTATTAATTTTTTAATGCTTAGGTAAAAATTTGGACTGAAACTATTCCATCAGCCATAACGGCCGTTAATTTGGCAAAGCAATTGGCACTCAAAATCCCCCAACTGGCTTGAAAGCTAACTAGGAAATCGTCACTGCATTTTGAAATCTGTCAGAACATTACAGTTTTCCTGAATGACTTATTTTATTCTGTTTACTTTGAAAGTCCAAAAGAACAGGACTCGGTTGAGATATAGCCTATTATATGCCTACATCGTGCACAGATAAGGTTCTTTAACAGAGGACCAGAGCCCAGGGGTTTCTTTTTTTGTGCCACAGGTGCCATAATGAAGTGGTGAAAAATGAAAAGGAACGAGGAAAGAGAAACAGTACAAATAATACAGTAGAGAAAGTTTTAAAATATGTATTACTCCTCTCTGTGGGGGAAACACCTCTTTGGATATGTTCTTGACAGATTGAGTTATTTCTGCCTATTGGGTATGTATAAAGACATATTTATGGATTTATAAATCTTTTGAAGAGGCCTGTTATTTACCCAGTTGACTAAAATGGACTCAAACTGTGTAAATAACTATTTAGGACATGCACTACGGGCCAAATGCTGGCGCGGCTCACACATCCATGGCTGCCAGAAAAGGCAGGCCAGGAAAACATGGAAGAGCCACTGTGCGCAGTTAATCCGAAGCCTGCACAAAGGCCCAGCTCCACAGGTCTCAGAGATGCATAAAGGGTAGAAGGGTTGTGGTTGGCATGGAAATGCACAGAAATTGTTGTGGCCACACTTGCAAGCATCATTCGGCATCTAGCAAGGGCTGAATGAGAGACACCGCCCATCCCTCAGAAGCCATAGAGAAGGGCAGGTGAGATGAAAGGAGGGGCTCCTATGCCCACAGTTATCAAGTCACTGGGTGGGGGGCAAGTCCGCACAGAAAGCTTCTATCAGCTCACCAGGGAGGGGAGTCATTCTTTAGTCAGGAAAGAGGGCATGATGAGGAGAATCTCAGACAAATAATCAGGAAACTGAACGTTGAGGTCTGATGCTACACCAGGACCTCCACAAATCGCTCAATACATCCATCCCCTTATTTTCCCCATCTGTCAAATGGGGCAAGTATTGTTTTAGAAAGGTTCAACTGAACTCATTCAAACGAGATCATTTCTACGAAATTTCTTAAAGAACAGATTAGGCACTGAACTTCTATGAAAAAATATCAAGAGAAACAGCATAAGTAGCAAACTCAGGTAATGTGAAAGGTAGATGTCCTCTGGTTACCAACAAACTCATTATTAAATTGGCCTTTGGAGAGCACCTGCTGAGGGAAAAAGAACCATGCAATATTCCTAATTCCCTGTTGTGACATGTCGGAGGGGAAGAACGGGGCTGGGGCCTTTGCCCTCTCAAAATCCTCTTATCAGATTATGTTTGAGAAAACGTATATGCTACCATTTGAAATTCAGGTACATTTCAGCAGTTGGCAAGCCTTTAAAGCAACAGCTATGCTACCTGCCTGTTCCTAAATGATACATAGATGTTTTTAAAAGCAAGAAGTGAAAAAGAAAATGAGACAAACAAAACAAGAGGCTATGACCCCACGTAGCAAGTATGGAGTATAGGAAAAAAGTATTTAGAATCCATTCTCACCTTTTTTGAAAACTCATGGTCTGAGTTGAAAATAGGGCTTTCTATTGAAGGTGCTGACATCACCTTAACTACGGCGCCGTGAGCAGCGACACCATAACATGTACATACACACACTTGAAAGAAAACAGGCCCTATGGATTTATGCCGCATATCTTCTTCCAGTAAAAGTCAGAGGTCAGAGGGTACCATTTCGGCCTCAGCTCTGAACCAGTTTACTATTCCGGCTCCATTTTTTACTAGACTTATAGTCGTGGTAAAGTCAGCAACTTTTCTTTGAACAATAAAGTATTTCAAATGCTTAAAATTCTATGTGCAGAAGTTATTCCCAGTCCAAAGAGCAAACACGTGCCTTAAAAAATAGAACTTTCCTGGTTTTGTTTCCAAGTGAATTATGTCAAACTCGTTTTGGATTTTGCAGTTCTAATCGGTACAGCCCAATTACGTAAGAAAACAAAATTCTTTTGTTGTCTAATGGCACACCAATGACACACGATCATCAGACCAGATTTTAAAGTATGCACCTCTACTGTGGGCTCAGAGTCAACTTCGATAAAGCCATCTTTTTATATTCAGATGGAGAATACTCTTTAAAGCTTTGGTTGCGCTGATTGAACACAAAATTCCACTGCAGTCAGATCTCACCAAAGGCAGTACAAGAAAGACATCTAAGCACTCAGTCACCTTTTTGCTGAAGATTAACTTTACGTTTAAACTTTATTTCCTACTAGCTATAGGCAGACGTGCACATCCATGGACACCCAAGTACACACAGGTATGTGCATTCAAGGAACAATACAAGCTAAATTGATCTGGTTTCTCTTCACTTCTTCCTAATTCCCTGTAGTCAGTTTGCAATGAAGTCAAGCACTTAAGAGATTCGGATAAGTAAATCCAGCAAAATGGCTTCAGCCTAGTGGAGAGGGAAAGCCCAACATGACTTTCTAAAAGGCCCACTGCCTTCTAAGCATCTGAAGACATCATTAACTTGGAATCCTGGAAGGTGTCTCTTCATGATCTCTTGAAAAGCCTCTAAGGGCAAGTAATCATCATACTTTTTTATTTGTAGAGCAGGGTATTAGTGGCATACTATTTACGCACATTCGAACTTCTAATCTACTCTAATCTAGCCCTCAGTCAATTCACTGACCCTGTTTTATGGAGGTGGCCAGGTGACAGGCAGTTAGGCAGCTGGAGTGGCATGGAAGAAGAAAAGGTCTGGAGAATAAAATAAGATAAGCTGATTCTCATACTGTAAGGGGTTTATGTTCTAGAAAGACTGTATAAATAGTGACTAACTAGACATTCCTGGCTTTTCAACCCTTAAAAATGAAACAAGTAGCAAAAGAGAGTGAGAACACCTCTCCTACCTTGCTCACTGCTGTTATCCCCACTGTGTGAGGTGTGACCACCGCTGGAAGGGCCCGGGGTTCCTCCTGAACGAGTGGATGCCGTGTCATCGTGATCTCTGTTCCAAGAGGGCTGTGGGGGCACAAATCAGAAATCCAAATAGAGTGGTCTGTTAACACTGGTCCGGCAGGCTCCTGTCGGACAATGACAATGCAATGGAAGGCCAGAACGGACGGCCATGCCACCTTTCCCATTCCCCTTCACAGATGGTGCCATCCTAGAGCTGTGTTGGCACATTTGAAATCTGCTTCTGAGCTAAAATAATATCTGCAGATAGTTATTCTGTAAGTAACTATAGGCTTTATTACCAAGAAAAACAAAAACATTCCAGGCAAAGCGGGGGGGGGGGGGGGCGGAGAGTGGAAATGATGCCACTTGATTCTGACTATATTCTTAATGTCAACAAATCCTCTGGCACAACAGTCTGCGGCTACTCTGAACGTGCAAAGTAAGAGTGGTGGTCTATAGCACTGCGGTGTATAGAGGCCCCTGATTCATCCTAAAAGACAAACATGGCAGAGCTTTTAAGACCTTACAATTAGGCCGGGGTCCATTATAGCTAGTATGTGTCAGCTGTTTGCCGGATGGTACACAGCAAATGGACCAGGCACGAGGACAAAAAAGAAATGAGAATAACAATAGATTCACATGGACTGTGTACACTCAGCCCCATGCCGAGCCTTCTTGTACTATTGAACGGAAAACAGATGTTGCTTCTTATCACTGGGTGCATTTGAAAGTAACATTCAGATAGGAAAAATTGGCAGTAAATTAAATTCTTGGGGAAAACAATCATGGCAACACTTCTCCCAAATCTCCCTTTATCACCAGAAAAGATTTTAATTAGCTTTTAGTGCTAGCTTTCAAAAACAGCCTTATGAGTCACTGGCCATCCTGCACAGTAGGGATAATGCAGAAAAGAAAGCTGGTTCTTGGCTGGGAAGTGATATTTGTCTTCAAGATTATTAGTGGAGAGGCAGGATGATCTTGTGTGTAAAATATGTCTACATCATATCAGTCACAGGATGTCACGGTTCATGACTGGGTGGTGGTAAAGTTTATTGACCCTCCCAACGCTTTAAATATGCCGGGCAAAATCAAAGTGCTCTTTGCTTACATCTTGAAAAGTATTCTCATGTCCCAGAGAAGGTAAGAAAGGCTGAGGAGGAGATCAAAACATTTCTGACACCCACGGAGAGAAAAGGAAAGATCCCATCTAAGAGGCACGCTGTGTAAGAATCAAAGGAAGGGTCCCTGTTCCTGAAAAGGATGCTTGACGGCCACCTACCCTATACTCTTGGCCAGAAGGTTAACACAGCCCCCCAAATTAAATGAAGTCATAGAGAGATATACCACTTGTGCATCTGACTCAACCATTAAGCACATTCTCAAAAACAGTGATAACTGATCTGCTGATTCGGTGACTGAAAGATAGGCGTGCTGTGAAAGAGGTGTCTTGGACAAACACGCATTCTGCAGCGTGCCAGAAGATGCATGCTGGAAGAGGTAATCTGAAACACACGCTCAGAATGCAAACAGTTAATGCATAAATTTTCAGTTTGTACAACTGCAGCTCTAAAAGGGGGACTTGTTTATTCAGAGCTCTGCAGAAAGAATGGTACAGCACCCAGGGGACAGACAATGCCAGGCACAAAACCCCGGTGCCTCGACATGTAAAAGGATGTTTTTCTATGTGCTACAAATCCCACTTGAAAATATAATTAGAAGGAGAAAATGGCAAACTATTGCATTAACTGTAATTGAACAAAAGACCGGCAAGGCATGTGGGAGGCTGCAGGAACCCGTGGGAGTTTCAGGATGCATGAGATCCTGCGAGTGACATCTCCTGGGCTCTCTCATTTTATTTATGTTGTCCCTCACTACTATTGTTGACTGGTGATCTGACTCGTAATTAATAGAAAAGCCACCGATAACAAGCTAAAATACAGAGCAACAGAATAACCTCATCAGGAGCATGTTTGTTAATCTGATTAAGACTAGGACTCCAGAAAGGTGACTTAGAACCCAAGAATTATTCCATGTTACACAGGAAACTGTCCTCCTTTATGCTACAACAGACCTGATATATTCACTATCTTTTAATGAGCTCCACTGATTTATTCAGCTCTGCTCTGCTCCCTCCCCCACTTTTCTACTGTGCAGGATGTAGATTAATTCAATGCTTAATTGTTTAGTAAATTCAATTTTCCACATTCTATTCTGCATAGCTTTAGCTAAGGTTCTTAAATCTTCAGCAGTGAGCCCTGAGCCCAGTGTTTGTGATCTGTGCCTACCTTTTTTCATCACCATTTTTCTTCATCCACCACTTAATTCACCATGAAAAGATTTTCCTTGCTGGAAATTCTGATTCCGCTATGATCTGTGAGCCATTCCGATTCATTGCATTTTCATTGTGTTGGGTCTTAGATGCCGGGCTCCTCTTTTCTCACAGCTATCACCACATTATACAGGCATTCATGCAAGAAATGTTGGATTCCACCTCGGTTTATCCAAATTTCGTGCAACCTATATGTTTAAATTTGTGTGTGCACCAAAGGTAGGAGCCAATATTTTCCACCTCTTCTGGAAAGGCCTGTGAGTACTGAGTGCACTTCTCTGAAATGAAATCTAACTTTTGTGGTCCTCTCTTGAATTAGCATTTTGGGTATTAGCATTTCAAGAACGGTGGAGTCACACAAAACTGAGCATTAGGAGAAATCCACAAGGTTACCAAAACAGAACGAGAATTATGTTTAGTTCAGTTCATTAAACATGATTAAAGTCTAAGTATCAGAAATAGCTCATGAACTCTCTGGCATAAATATGTAAGACAGCCCTAATCAGAAAGAACTCCCCCAAAATCCATCTACCCGAGAATCTCAGTTACAATAACGCATCTCTGTGATTCTATGTGGTTACACCCAACAGCATCATTATTATTTTTAAAATAAAATATGTGCATACAATTATGTACATATATCTGTGAAGTTGTGAGTTGCTTGGGGCCACTTGTAAAGTAAGGCTGACAGAATAAAATCAATGGTGCATTGAGTTAGATGTATAGCAAACCAGAGTCGTGGTTCTAAACTAAGTTCCAAGGAGGCTTTTTTCTTCAATGTGTATAATTTCAGAGTAAGCGATGCCTATGTTCTCTGCTAGTGGAAATCCATTAAGACAAGAGGTCCTAACTTGAAGTCCAGAGACCTCCTAAAGACTTCGGGGGTAGGGGGTGTCTTGTTTTAACAATAATTTTGTTTATGGACATACTAGCATTTTTTTCCCCTAGGGAGAATGTCCACAACTTTTCATCAGATTGTCAAAGGGATATGTGATTCTTTCAAAGTCTGAGAACCACTGCTCTAGGAGACCTTCATAGGGCCAGATGGAAAAGCCAGGGCGGGAAAGACCTTCAAGATCATGGAGTCAACACTTTAACCCGGTATTAAGAGCCAATGGTCCTTCAGACATTATTTCTTTTGTCATAAATGGACAAAAATGGCTTCGTTCCTTCAGAAAGTTCTTGGTCAACATACAAATTTAGCATAAAACATACAAACCAGTTTCATTGTCTAGTTGTAGAGCCCTAAAAGACAGCCATTTTAAATATGTGGGGCAAGCCTTTGATTCTCTCCATGTTTTCTCTCTTCAATGGTTTGAATACTCCCAGGCCTTCTATTAGTCCTCAAGAATGCTTGAAAACAAGGGTTTTTACATGAAAATATGCTAACGCTCATCGAGTGGCATTTTAATTTTTATTTATTTTTTAAATGTTTTATTTATTTCTGGGAGAGAGAGAGAGGCAGTGTGAGCAGGAAAGGGTCAGAGAGAGAGGGAGACACAGAATCTGAAGCAGGCTCCAGGCTCTGAGCTAGCTGTCAGCACAGAGCCCGATGCGGGGCTCGAACCCAAGAACCGTGAGATCATGACCTGAGCTGAAGTCGGACACTTGACCGACTGAGCCACCCAGGCGCCCCTCGAGTGGCGTTTTTAAATTTATGAGGTAATTTATACAGGTATTTTGTAGTAAAGTGATGACTTCCTTGACCACAGGATCCTCTAGGGCACAGATAATATCTGGAACTTCCCTATCTTGTTCTTTCTTGGCTCAGCACAACGTATGGTGCATGCTCAGCACTTGGTCAAGGCTTAGGGAACTAAGCTGAATCATTCATTGTTTATTGTTCTACCAATATCCTAACAGATGAGCTACAACTTCCCAAACCATCCTTTCTCCTGAATGAAGCCATCTATTGGTAATGTTTCCTCTCTCCATCTTTTCCATTCCTTTTCCACCTATGCCTTAATTTTGGACATACTTCCATTCCTCATATCACTTTCCATGTTTTCCTTGGACAGTTCCTTTCACTACTGCGATCTGAGTTATCACCCATAAGCCATGAAATTTGTGTCTCTGGGTCTCTTCTTTAGACTTGTGTGCCCAACTACCTGCTAAACCATCTCCATGGAAAGATGTTCACCTCACTCAACAAATCCAGTGCTAAACTTATCATCTCCCCATCAACATCCTACTCATTCTTCTTTTATTGATCCTAGTAGGTATAACCCCATCTATCCATGGTATAAGCCTGAGAAACATCCATGACACCCCCCTCCTCCTCCCCCTGCCCCCTACCTTCCATACAATCAGTCCTCATGTCTTGTTTACTTTTGTCCCTAAATAGTTCAAAAAGAAATCTCTCATTTTTCACATTAGTGATTGCTGGGCTTGTTAAGGCCCTCCCAGCTTTTTTTTTTTTTTTAATTTTTCAACATTTATTTATTTTTGAGAGACAGAGACAGAACATGAGCAGGGGAGGGGCAGAGAGAGAAGGGCACACAGAATCCGAAGCAGGCCCCAGGCTCTGAGTGGTCAGCACAGAGTCCCACACGGAGCTCGAACTCACGAACTGTAAGATGATGACCTGAGCCAAAGTCAGACACTTAACCGACTGAGCCACTCAGGTGCCCCAAGGCCCACCCAGCTTTAAAGAGTTTAGTCAAATGGGGCACCTGGGTGGCTCAGTCAGTTAAGCATCTGACTTCGCCTCAAGTCATGATCTTGCTGCACATCG